GGCCTGCGCTTGTGACACCTTTAATCTTCGTCACTTTATGACCTAACCGTATTTCAAGTGCCGTAAAACTCTTACTATAACAGTATTATTAATGGCTCTATATGTCTTCTTCCTGCACTTCATAAATGTTATGATGTCGACGTATTTCTGTTCACTCTAACTTACATGCCATTTGTCAGTGCCACATCGATGTTTTGGTTTGCAGTGAACAACGAAGTGTACAAACGGCTTGAGGTGACACTCAAGGATAGAGGGGAGTCTTTCTACCAGGAGAGGATGGTGAAGCTTGTGAAGGAGTTGAAAGAACAGGGTCAGTGATGGAATTGTCATTATAAACCTTTTACGGCCCCATCAACACAACATAGATCATTAAGGCGAACACCTCAAAACTTCAGTTTCTAGATGTATAAAGAACTTAAAAGATTTCAGTTTGCAGATAAAAACACTTAAGTTTGTTGATAAAAGATCTGGATACCTCAGTTTTTAGATCTAGTAAAGAACTGAAAGAAAGCAGTTTGTAGATAGAGAAAATGAAGTTTGTAGCTAAAGATTTCAGCACGTAAATAAAAGAATTCAAGACTTCAGGTTATCAATAAAAGATTTCAGTTTGCAGTTAAAAGACTTCAGTTTGTAGATAATAGATTTTAGTTTGTAGAAAAGAGATTTCAGTTCATAGAGAAGAGACTTCAGTTTGTCGGTAAAAAATTTCAGTTTATAGATGTAAGACTTCAGTTTATTGGAAAAAGATTTTAGTTTGTAGAGAAAATATTTTACTTCATTGAGAAAAGATTTCTGTTCACAGACAAAAGACTGTAATTTGTAGATAAAAGATTTCACTTTGTAGGTATAATTTATAACAAATTTTTTGTGCTCATACAACTGGGATGTTGTTTTTATATTCTTATTGTTCCTAGGTATCACGGAGATGGATGAACATGGACGTACCGTCATGTTTGTCCCGGGCTTTAACGTTCCCCTGATGATCACCAAGTCTGACGGAGGTTTTACCTACGACACTTCAGACATGGCGTGCATCAAGCAGAGGCTGCAGGAGGAGAACGCCGATTGGCTGGTTTATGTTGTGGGCAACGAGCAGGTCAGTCTCCTTTTTCTTTTTCTTGTTCTTCTTGTTCTTCTTGTTCTTCTTGTTCTTCTTCTCCTTTTCCTTCTCCTTCTTTTTCTTCTTCTTCTTCTTCTTCTTCTTCTTTTTTTTTCTTTTGGATTACATCAAACTTGAAGTCTGGTATCTAGTAAGGTTATGCGTCTGAGAGCCTAACTACTTGGCCACCGACGTCACAACGTGACCCCCTGAATCTGTACAAGGTCGTCAGTACCGAAAGCAGGGGTTCTAAGTTTACTAGTACCTGCTGTACATAACTCTGATATAAGAAACCGACGTCTATGGTTTAGCCCTTCGACTCTTTGATGTCACATTTATTACATCAAAATTCCTATTCCCCTCCCCCTCCCCCTCCCTTTTGTTAACATGTTAAGCATCTCCATCTCAACTATCTGTCTGCTAGGACATTGTATCCCTTCCAGCAGCTCCTGATTTGCCCTGACAGGCAGGGCAGAATTGTATGCTTCTTATATGATCTTGACCTGCTGGGAACACAGAATTTGTTTTTTTGGGAGAGTTTTTTGGTTTTGAAAAGTTGGCAGTTATATACAGAATCTGTTTTTGGGTTTTTTAACGTTTTTTTTTAAAAGTTGGGTTTTTTAAAAAGTTGGCAGTTAGGTGCTTATATATCAATCTCTCC